GAGGAGGTGGGGCGGGCACGCTGGGGCGAGGAGGGACTGTCCTGGCAGGGCCATGCGCCTCGGTGGCACTGCCTAGCCTGGGAGATGCAGGGGCGTTAAGTGGGCCGCTGATGGTTTTAGTGGGAAGCCTGGGAGAAGGCGCTCGGGAGCCAGGGGCCTGCCCTGTCTTGCCACCTGGAAGTGAAACAAATTTTGGGTTAGCTCAGCGGTAAAGGAAGGAGAAACCCCAAGCGTGTGGGCGGCATGGGGACATTCTCAAGCATGATGTCAGTGGGTGCATGGTAGACGCTTTTCCTGCATGTTCATGCACAGGCTTCAGTGACAGCTGTCACACAGGAGGGCCAGCTGGACTGGCCCCAAGGTCCTTCCCAGCATTAAGGAGCTGTCCTCCTCCAAGACAGGCCCAGGTCAGACAACCAGCCTTCCTGTTCCATGCCACCTCTACTCTCATCTGCCAAGGGCTTCCATGTCTCCCAGCCCAGGACATGGGGCTGCTCCGACCTCCTCTGCCCTTCCTCACCTCAAGCCTACCCTCATAGTCACTCATGTTACCTGCTCGGTTGATCAGCCCTTAGGTTCCAGTTTGGATCCTCAGGTGTACCAACCAGAAGTCCTGACTGGGAAGGTTTTCCTCACTCCCAGCATTTTGTGAACAAGGACTTTGTTTCTGTATGGAGAGCAGAACATTCATGATTCCCTGAATATATAAGGTAAGTCAACAGGGACACACTTGCCCTTGACAATCCAGGTTCAATGACCTTGAACCTCCCAGTTCAAAGCCCCTTTCCCAAACATTTATGTTTCCTGATCTCCTGGCTTCTCCCTGTAGATTATTCACTGCATCTGCCCTAGCTTGAAATTCAATGCCTCTTTTAGATTCAGCAACAACAATATGCTGGCTCGCCGTAAGCATTTGTGTGGGTGGACATCACAGAAGACAGGGAGGGTGTTCCCTGGGAGGGCCTTGGCTCTCTGCACAACCTCGCACACACTGGTAGTTCTCACCCTTCTTTCCCTCTGCCTCTCTCTAATGGGAAAAAGTTCCTCTCCCTATTTGCTGCATAGAAGTTCTGTAGTCACTGCTTACATATATCCTTGGAGTATCACTGTCCACTCAGGAGGCATAGTAAAATGTTTCTTCCAAATATAGCACTCTGCTTGAAAGGGATTCACATGAATACATTTTTCCATATTTCAGCACCGTGATATTTTATAATCCTCATGGAAACGTGGAAAATTCTTGAAAAAATGGTTGCTTCTCACACCTACAACTTTCTAGGTGCTGCAGCATAGGAAATACAGTTTTCACTTCAGATCATAAACCACAGCATCCATTGGGGGTTCTGAACTTTTCAGTGCATGAGTCTCCAGCACATTTACCCAACAAGGCGCTCAATCATACCCTAAAGTACTTGATGTCAGAAACCAGGCAACACAGCAAGGCATGGTGAAGGTGACTCTAGGGGCCAAAGCTAAGTGGGCAAGACCTCGGTATCTGGCTTCCAAAATGGGTGACCCATTGGCTATGTGACAGTCAACTGGACAACACTACTCTGGAGTGGCCATTTGTAAGGCAGGGTGTGACATCATTATTACTCTGTTGAGGATTCTCTTCTAGGTGATTTCAGAAGAGATCATGTCTTTGCTCTGATGTGTCCTCCTTGGCTGACTTGGTCCCCTGGAGGTCAAAGGCAGCATGGCCAGAATAGCAGGCTGGCCAGGACCAGGAGCAGAAGGCCCTATTCTGCCTTTCCAGGGGTAGGATCTGCCACCTGCCACTCCAGCAATGGACATCTTATGTGATGTCTAAGGTGGGTGTCAGCTCAGAATTCCTGCCTAAAAGTTTTCAAAACCTGCTTCCACGGTACACTGACATGATACTGGAGAACCGAGGCAGCTCCCTAAATGAGGCGAGACCCCCCTATATGCCCAGTTGCTGAACAAAATTTAAAGGGATGATACATTAAAAAAAAAAAAAAAAACATGAGTAGAGTCTGTCCCTGAATAACCAATCTAAACTTTTTAAGTGACTGAGTACACCACATGTCCAAGATTCAACAACGCTGAAAGTGAGTCATTCAAGGAACAGGCTCTTTTGCTTACTCAGCAGCCAACCAAATGAGAAATGTGGGCAAACCCATTTGTATCATAACCCGAAAAGCAGAAGCAAGGGCGGCCCAGATCCTTGTTGGGCTTATGTTCATGCCCACTCTGGGGCGGAGGTGAGACACATGGGAGACCCATGGGAGAGAGAGGGGGGAAGGGAGGAGGCTGTCCTTCATTACACAAATGCTAGCCATAGAAACCCAAAGAAAACACAAAAGGAGACTGTGAGCGGGTGGGGAAAGGCCAGCTCGAGGGCATCAAGGATGCACTGCCAATACATATCAGGTTTTAGAGCCTGCAGTTTTACCAAAAGGTGAAATACCTCTTCCTTAAATCTGTGTATGTTTTCCAGAAGACCCTGGATTGTATGGAAGTCTCATTACACATCTGTACAACCCAGTGATAATGTTTACTCATCCTATCTTATTTTAATTGTCACCCCAAGAGCTCTAAGCAAGAGCCACAATGTGACTTCCAAGGACCCTGGGCACTTTTGCCTTTGTGGGCCCCTTCCTCTATAAAAAAATTTTATATTTATGACTGCATTGTTATAGCAACAAATATAATCTTTGATGCTAAAAGTTTGTGTTTCATCTTCTGATTTTAAAAGGAATTTAAATATTTTCATGGGCCCCTAACAGTACTTTGAGCCCTTGACACTGTGCTTACTGTGCCTAATGGGTAAGTCAATCCTGCTCTAACCCCCACACTACACGTTCACACATTCCAGTCAGCAGTACTGAATGAGCACCTACTACGTGCTGGGCATTTTTAAGGCAGTGAACAAAACAGTTCCTGCCCTCATGGAGCTACATTTGGAGCAATAAGATAGTCAACAAACAAATAAACCAGTAAACATATAATTTGTCAAGTGGTGATAAGTAATATAAGAAAAATATATCGAGGTAAAGGGGATATGGAACGAAGGGGTGGAACTGGTATATGGGATGATGGTTAAAGTCCTCACTGATACGTTGATCAAGTGCCGCCTGAGCAAAGACCTGAAGGAAGGGAGATGTGAGCCACATGGATTCCTGGGGAATGGTCTTTCAGGCCAAGGAAGCAGCCAGTGCAAGGGTCCTGGGGCAGCAACACGCCTGGTATGTGCAAGAACAGAAAGGGAGAAGGTGGGCAGGGTACAAGGCATGAGCCGCAAGGAGCGCAGCTTCCGTTGGCTGGTCCCTATGGAAACCTAACTGGGGTTATTTCTCCCATCTTTATCTCTTTGAAGAGAAAGTAGTGGAAGTTTTACATCCCAAAGGATAGCACTTAGAAATTTTGAAAAAGGGCACTGAAGAATATCTGTTTTCTTTATTGAGGAAGACCTTAGCACTTCCTCTCCTGCCAAACCCTCAGCAGAAATGAGGAAATGAAATGGCTGCTGAGAAGGCTCAGGCTAGAACCCAAGGGATCCTAGGGCCCTTATCTTTGCTGAACTGTATCAGTGGGTGAAGGCAGCAAATGCACCCCATAATGTGAAACAGTCACAGGGGCCATTGAGAAGGTCGGAAAAGTCACATGGTGGAGGATCCAGCACCAAGAATGTTCGGGGCTTGATATTCCCTGGATTAATGATATTCCTGAAGTTTATTCAGCTTGCTGGCTAAAGAGCACAATAATAGGAAAAATGCTTTTTTTGCTCACAGTATATACATATTTACCCAATTTTAATCCAATACTTTCAAAATATCTGAAACACTAAAACACAAATGACTACAGTGGACTTATTGAAAAAATGGCCTCAATTACCCACTTATGCCTGATTTTATAATCTTTGAAACATGATTTTGCAGTTGCTCTCATCAAGAGGCGAAGTCTATTTCCCCAGCCTTGTCTCTGGGCCAGCTTTGTGACTTGCTTTGGCAAAGAGGATGTGGTAGGAAGTAATACTTCTAGACATCCAAGTTACTTCCTAGTAATACTTCCAAGACTAAGCCCCAAGAGACTTTACACACTTCTGTCTTCTCTCTTGGAACCCTGCCACTGCCATGGAAACAAGCCCCTGGACAATCTGCTGGATACTGAGAGATCAT